CTGGATGGCGGGGCCTCGGGGGCTCGCGGGACCTGCTCGACGGGCCGGGGGGCCGGGAATACAGAAGTCGCTGCACAGCCCGAAACCTTAACTCTACACGCACCTTCCTCTTCCCGAGATGTCCTGTCGAGTCCCGCTCCTCGCACTTGACAGTGAAGCTGGTGAAGCCGTAACTGGCGGGACGGGGAGGCGGAGGCCTCGTCCCAAGGACCTGTTCCTCCCCGCGCTCCGGCCGCGCAGAAGGATCCCTGAGGTAACCGTGAGCTGCCCGCAGCGGCCAGGCCCCGCCCACCGCGCGGGTTCCGCCACAGATGCCGTCCCGCGCGGCCTTCCGTCAGAAGCCTCCGCCGCAGGCGCTCCTCGCGTCTTCAGAAATCACCTCAGGCCTCGAACCCCTGGGCCAGCGAGGTCCCGCTTGCGCGCCACAGCTCCCTCCTTCCGCGTCCCGCCCGCCGGAAGTGACGGACCGGAAGCGCCCCTCCTCTCACGGAGGGGCGGGGAGGGAAGATGGCGGCGCCCAGCAGCCGGTGAGGAGAGCGGACACGGGGATCCCGGGGAGCGGCCGGACTCGTGCGTTATGGCCCCATCTCCGCACACTCTCTCCGCTCGCCTTCTGACAGGTAATGCACCCGCCCCCGGGCTCAACTTTGGGAGAATTCTCTTCTTTTTGCCCGATGCGATGCCGTGGTTCCGGTTAGCTGCAACCTTGGGGAGCCCTTGGCGAGGTCGGCTGGGTACCAGTGGGGGAAGTGACCTTTGGAGTAGCCTGACGTGAAGAGGCCACGGAGCTGGGGTCTAGTCTTGCACTGGGGCCGCGCTGGTCCGCACCGCCTCTGTCCCGCTCCCCCCATGGAAGGGTGCTTCTTTAGGTTTTCAGATAGTGGAGGCTTCAGGAGAGAGGAAAGAGTAGAAGCTTGGGGCTCCACGAGCCTCTTGGCTTATCAGAGCCTTAGATCCTAGCCATTTGTAAGTTTTACTTGTACGTTCCACTATAAGGACCGGGGAAATGCTTTCCCTCCTCTCCCCGCCAAGCCTTGTTCCAATATGAAGTGTCATGATGACAAATAGAACCACCATGGACAGCGGGCCATACCCACCTCCTCCCCCCACATTTGTCTTTCTATCGTTAGTGTTCCCTGATCTAATCACATCAAGGACCTGTCACAACTGTATGTTGAAAATGGAATACTCTTTCTCGGCCCTTGGCTAGGTCTCAGCTCAAATGTCACCTGTTTAGAGAAGCCTGACCAGCATATCTAAAGTACAGCTCCCGTCCCTTTTTTTCTTACATCACCCTGTTTCTTTCATCAAGGTTAGCACAACCTGTAATTGTTTATTTATAATCTGTTTATTGTGTGTTTCTCTCAATGAGAATGTTAAAAATTGTGAAGGCAGAGACAGTTTCTGCCTGGTTCGTCTCTGTGTCCACAGTGCCCAGAATAGTACCTGATGTGCCTTGTGCCTGCTCAGTAATGATTTGTGAATGAATGGAAGAAGAGGTTGTTGGGAATTGCTTTGCCCCCAGTAGTTTAGGATGATAACTAATGTGTCAGGAATGTTGCTGGTGGTCCGCATTGGAGATGGACGGGAAAACCATGGACTCCCTTTTGGTCAAATTCTGGAAACATTTTAGGCCTCACCTAACATAGACTTTCTACAGTATCTGGCAGTTTTGTTCACAGCGATTCTGTGAAATTTCTTTCTTCCTCTTGTCTCATAATATTGTTATTTTATGGGTCTCTCTTGGCCATGTGATCTCAGCACATATCATTTGTGTGTTTTCTGGAATTGAGTTTGCTCATTTATAAAATGAGACAGTTCAACTAGATGATCTCAAAGGTCTCTTCTGGTTCAAAAGGGGAGGAGGGTGAGAAGTGGGAGGGAGGGTGGGTGAACCAGACTGGCCATGGTTTGGTAATTGTTGAAGCCAGGGGTTAAGTAATGGGGTCTCATTGTTTTGTTCTGCTATAGTATATGACTGGAATTTTCCATAATGAAAAGTTTCCTCAAGGGTCTGTGATTCTTTTTGCAAAGTCACTGCTTTGTTACCTTCTCCCATCTGTGCCTGTGAGTGTTTGATCCCGACCCTAGGTTCTCATTCTCAGAGAGCTCATCCTTTCCTAGTGCCTGAATGATCACCTCTGTACAGAGGTTTTTCCAGTGTGCATTCCTCAAGACTGGGTGCTTCTCTGCCTTTCCGTTCTGTACGTTCGGCTTCCTGTAGGACAGTTCTACCTGACTACTCAGAATTACCCAGCTCCTGTAAGTGTGCTGGGTGTGGTTCACATGGTTTGCCACTGGATCAGTCCTTTTGATGCTGTTATGGGAGGAATTAATAGACAGCTTAGCTCCCTGAAGCTATGAGCATAATTGAGAGAATATCTGCTAGTAAGTGGTCTGTACCACCTGCTGTGATCCACGTGGAAGAGCCACTGTAAGAGCCCGACGTGGAAGCAGCATGGTGGGAAGGGGGCAGAAACGTAAAGCGGAACTGTATTAGGTATCTAGTGTTCATGCCCGGCTGTTCTTTGAAACTTCAAAGTGTTTTATAGCCATTACAAACTTTTCAGGTCCTTTCAGTTACTTGTCTGTGCACTTCATTCAAAAAGCCCTCCAGTCATGACTCAGTGTTGATGGTGCATAGTGGATATGGTCCCATGGTCCCAGATTTTTAATGCATCTATTATAAGCCCTGTGTATCTTCAAACTTATATTAGTTTACATGGGGCCAAAATGTCTTCAAATTTCTAGGCACAGATTTATAGAGATGTGACATGTTTTGACTAAGTGAAGTGTTTTCATCATTTAAAAGTGCAGTTTCCTAGCTGTATTCCCTTCCCTCCTCCCCTGGTAAAATCTCATTTTAACCCTGTTAATCTTGAGAGATATTTTCTGAGGTGGTTCTTTCCCTCCCAGCAACATGCATTTCTCATTGGACCAATGGAACTCAAAACTGGTTTTGAAATTAAGGCCCAGAACAGTAAAACTTGATGTCTTCCAAATATAATCTTTTAATCTTGAAATTACTGTCCCAAAGAACAATGTAAAGTCAAAAGAGGAAAATACACACCATCAAAAAAAAAAAGACAATAAACATTTACTCTCAGAGGACTGAGTTCAAAGAAATTTCAATCAGCAGACTGATTTCAACACTGCTATTTCTTCCTGTACACACATACAGACAACACATATCCATGTATATGGAAAATAATCACTTCATACTTAACTGAGGTTTAAGGGTATGATTTTAGTAAAGAAGGGATTTACCTCCAGTGTAAGATACATGCCATGTTTACCAAGGGGCAGTGACCACCCTCCTACTGACCGCCCAGGCAAGCAGAGGGGGAGACCAGACATCAGACATCATCTCATTCTTACATGCTGGTGGCCGGGTTAGGAAAGGTGAGAGCAGGAGAGGCCCTGCCCTCAAGGAATCACAAAAGATGATGTAGAAACAAACAGAAGCTGTTTGTATAAGGCGTGCCACGAAAAGGAGGGTAAAGTGATAGAGTGGAAAAAGACTTGGACATTTGACCCACAGAGAGTGGAGGCAAGGCACTGCAAGCAGGGAAACGGCATAAACACAGACGGGCAAACTGACACTGGCGTGCACGGTGGAGGGATGGGCCTGCTGCACCGCCGTGAGTTATAGGCACACATGCAGGCGAGTGAGATGTATTCCGGGCTCCAGGAAGAAAACCGTCAGCTTTATGCAACTTGGCTTGGAGAGGAAAGGACGTGAACCGAAGTCAGGACGAGTGGCTTGAACCCTACAATGGTCTTGTAGTCCAAAGTGAGATGATCAGGGCCTGTATCAGTAGACAGGCAAAGAAGTGACCAGATTTGACTGGTATTTCAGAGCTGACTGGAGTGGATGACTATTAGATTGAAGGAAGAGTTCAAGATGGTCCTGAAATCTCAAGCAGGTAATGGTTTCATCTGCAGCAGGAAACAGAGTAGAGATACTGGTGAGAATAAAAGTGTACTTGAAGATGTATTCCAACCCACCCATGTGGAGGTACAGATGGAAATAGGCGTAGTGACTCTAGAAATGGGTTGAAGATTAAAAATTACCCTATAATTGCATCTGTTCAGGGATGACATGTAGTGTTCAAAACAGCGGGGACACGACTGCCTTAACGTGGCAGATGCAGCAAGAGAAGGCACCTCGGGAACCAAGATGATGAGTGGCCGGTGGCTGAGAACCAGGGTCCTCAGGGTCCTGGGAGCCCTGGAGAGGAGACGTGGGAGGCTGCCCTGATGGGGCCTTACACGGAAGCGCCGATTGGTTGAAATGAAAAAGTTCCCTCGCCCTGTCAAGGAATTCCGCGGACTGGAAACAGTGAGTAGGGCTGATAAGTACCATTCGTTCACAAGTCTGGGTTAGGTCTCTTCAGAGTTCTGACCCCTCACGCGTGCATGGCTTGCCAAGGTGCTGGCTCTGCTTCCGGGCAGGTACAGTCACATTTGGTGAGAAGCACTAACCATTTTAATTAACCTTTTCCCCCTTTTCTCTCTCTTGTAGGTTGGGGAGGAGGATGTGTCTGGTATCTAGAAAGAAGCGCCGTGTGGGAGTCACCTCACAGGCTCGCGCGTCTTCTCAGGAGCCGCAGTAAACAGTGGATCGCATTTCAGCACTGTACCTTCCTCCGGCGCATGGTGCGTTCTGAGGGCTGTCCTCACTCTGCTGCTCGCGCCCTTTACTCTCCCCGTGCGAGGGAATTTTAGAGATTCCAGCTATGAGATGGTCGTCAGAAGTACTGATTGAAAAGGACTCTCATTTCATGTGCTCTTAAGTTTATCCAAAACGTTAATCCCTTGTTTTGATTATGCTTAACCAAAACCAGAATAGTTCTGGTGTTTGAGTTTAAAAGTATGATCTTGAACTTATTGATTAGGTTTGGAGAAAAATCGAAAACTTCTGGCATGTTTCGACTAGGCTAAAATTAAGAAAAGCTGACCTGTTATAATGCATCTTTTTAAAGTCTGTGGAGTTCTGTGGCTGCATCAGTAACACAGAAATAACTGCTCTAACAGTGTGACCCTACTGTTTCCTTAAACCAGCAGCGTATTTAAAGTCTTTTAAACCCAGGTTCTTCTGAGCAGATTCAAACAAATGGAGCTCTTGTAATTTGCTGGGCATTTTATAGTGAGCATTGTTAATATCGCTCAGTCCTCTTATAGGCAGTTCTTTAACTAGGTTGCCGGGATGTCGGCAATGTGGTAACTTGTATTTGCTGTTTTCAACAATTGTAAAGTATAAAATGAAGAAATGATAGTTAAAAACTCACGATTATGATGTAAGCATGAAAGAATAGCAAATTCATAATTGAAAGTCTTAGTTGACATTTATCTTTTTTTTTTTTACTTAAAATGCCCACTTAAAATTAACTTAAAATCTTAATAAAACTCGTTGTTTTGATGAGAGATTTTTAATATCCAGGAATGTTCAGACTTTTTAAGTTGGGGTCAAAGATAACAGATTTAGAAGAGAAACTCAAATATGTATAATGCTTTTTTTATGTAAACAAACTCTGAATTCATTCATGTGTTTGTAATTCCTTTCTGAGACTAGTGTGTGTGATTTCAGGCCTTTGTGATGTCATGGAAAAGCCACTTAACTAGTTACCAGGAAAGGTGGCTCCTTGTCCCAGGGCATCTGTGACTAACTGATTGTTGGGTCTTGGCTCTGCCAGTTCCTTTCTGCCTTGGTTTCCTCCTCTGAATGTTAGAGAGACACTAGTAACGATCCTCTTAATCACCTTTGAGAATTGAATCAGATGTGTATTATATGAACCATAAATATACATGTTATTATAAAACTGTAAAGTGCCTCGTGAATGTGAGTCACAGTTATTACTTTTTGCTGGTAAGTAGTAGAGATTGTCTGGCTCTAAACGCCATGTCTTTCCACACGCACACGGACACACAGACACTTGTACACACTGCAGTGACAGCCCTCAGCCCTGTGATGGGGCCTTCCGCTGAGCCCCTCTCTGCTCTGTTCATATCGGAATGTGGAAGCTCGGCAGGCTGACTTGGGCTCTTGACTGGAGAAAACTTTTTCCTTGTAGCTGGAATGTTACACCTCCAGTTTCTGGTACTATGTTGGGGAAAATTCTGGAGGAGATGAGTAAGAAATAAATTTCTTTCTTTCAAGGAACTTAAATTCTAGGACTTTCTAAACCATAGAATTTGAAAGCCAGTGCTGAAGCATTCATTGTCTTCTCCATATCTCTTGGTACAGTGATCCCCGGGTAACAAACACTAAGGCTAGTTATTTCAGTGTGTATTTATAAAGGTAGAGGAAGTCTTTTAGACTGTAGGAGTTGCACTGATGGGAGGCGTTAACTAGACAATTGCTTAAGAGCATCTTGGGCCTTGGTGTTATGGTAACATGCACTTTTTTATTTAGTATGTCACACAACTGAGCAGAAGCCTCAACCAGCAAGCGAAACCGAAGCCAGAACCTGTGGCACCTCCCTTCCTTGAAAAGACAGCTTTGGGTGAGGCCAAAGATGAAATATATGAGATGAGACCTCTTTCGCCCCCCAGCCTGTCTGTGCCCAGAAAGCCAAATGAGAAGGAGTTGATGGAGCTGGAATGCACCGCAGTCACTGAGGACTCGATGGCTGTGGGGAAGGAGACAAAAGAAGAAAAGCAGTGGAAGGAGATGAAGCTGAGCGTGGACGACTTGCCGGGAATCTTGGCTCGGCTGTCCAAAATCAAACTCACAGGTACTTTGTCTTTCCGGTCTCGTCAGATTCTTACTTGAAACTGGTTAAACAAAATGCTGATTTTATTACTGCCCCAAAAAGGGTATTTTGAAACTACAGAGTTTCCCCCTTCCCCCCTTCATTTTAATTGGGATTTGAAGTCACATGTTTGGAATTCTGTTAACGCAGAATTGTAAATGGTAGTGCACTAAACGTATTGTGCTAAAAATAGTCTCTCTTTTATTTGCAGTTAAAGCACAATGCTTATCTGGCTTATTTCCTTGTCTTCTGTGTGTTTCCTACTGTCCTGTAAAGATGCAGTGAGGTGATGAGTTCTGTTGAGTTCTGAAAACAAGGGGAACCGCACTGCTGTGCTCAGCGTGCGGTGAGCCCGCAGCGGCCCCAGGGCCTCTCCGCCTGCCACGCTCTGCTTCTCGTCCCGCCTCTGGGCTTGGCCCACGTGTGTGGGGATTCAGAGTGCTTCTCTGAGAAGAGGTTTGGGACCTGGTTTTTTTGCCTAAGTCTAGGAAACTGCACCAGATTTTGTTGTGTTCGTTTGGGTATTAACCTGTAACGGTGACAGTACCTGGGAGGTCTCCTGAGATGCCTGGCTACAAAGTTACTCTATTTGGCAGTTAGGAAGCCAGCGTTGCCAGGCTGCTGAATCAGTGTTTCCTCTTAGCATCTCAAAGGAGGTACTTTAAATAATTAATCTAAAATAATGTCTTAAAGTTTATTTTTGTAATGCTTATTTCTTTACGGGCAGACAGTAAAGTACAATCATTGGTTTAGGATCAGTCTGGGGTGGCGGGCACACATCTTCCTTCACTTCCCACTGGCTGTCATATTGCTTTTCCTTTTCCATACCTTACAGTGTCGTGTATCTGAATAGGCATTCCAGATGCAGGGTTTGTTGTTTAAAACACGGTGTCACAAATCTAAAGTGGTAGTTAAATTACTCCTTTACTGGTACGTGTTGTGCTGTCCGTTGAGTGAAGACTGGTTGGTCCCCGCGTGTCAGTCTGCTAAGGAGCACACAGGGCACGTGTGGCCGCTGGCCCCAGGCAGTCAGATCCCGGAGGCCTGGGACAGGACCCAGAGATCTGCATTTTGGCAGATGTGCACATGACCTGACGCAGGTGGTCCCAGACCACCTTTGAGAGAGTGAAGTAGGTGTTGTGTGGGCAGAGTGCAGCTCCCAGGCCCAGTGGTCTGGTGGATGTGGGGAGCTCTCGCCCCGGGAGGGCCAGTGCAGCCCCCGCCACCACTGGCAGCAGGAACAGCCAGCGGTGGGGGGTGCGGGGAGGTCTCCAGACCACACAGGAGAGGTGTGCAAAATCGCGACACAAAGAGAAGAAAGCGAATCACAGCATCCCCTGCAGCCACAGATGGAAAATCCGAGCAGTAAATTTCTCCTTGTATCGTTTTATATATTCCATGCCCCAGGTTTCTGGATGAGCTAATTGAATTAAAGTCATTTCCTTCTGCTTAGTCCATTTAAAGAGGCAGCACCCTTTGGGTGACCCCAGCTCTCTTATTTGACCTCCTGCCTCCCTATTTATTTTATTACTTGAATTCACACATGTCTTGGAGTCAGCAGGATTTTTTTTTTTTTTAAGAAAATCCCTGGTATCTATCCATTGATTTCTTTGGGACTCTTAACATCTTGGGCAATTCATTTAAGCTAATGATAGCCAAGGCAGAAGTATCTGGGAGTTAGCAACCACTGTTGGAAAACTAGTCTCCCTCTCTTTGCCGCATTTGGTTTACAGCTGTAACGTGGCAGGGCTAACTGGCTGAAGACTGAGCGAAGCTCTGCAGAGATCATACTCAGTTCCACTTGTAGGACGGGAGGGCGGAGGTGCGGGACGCTGCTTTGGCATTTACACAAGGGTCTGGGCCAAAGTTTGCTGGAGCTAATGCCATTTAAAGATTTTTCTCTTCTATGAAAGGAAGTAAGACTGAGTTTATAAAGAAGCAGTAATATATCTCCCCTGAGTTCCTCTTGCCAACTGAACTATTTACAATATGTTTTTGGAGTTTGTTGCAAGGACCACACTGAGGTAAAGAAATTTTATTTGGATTAGGATCATAAGATGCTTTGGTAACTCAACTGAGTATGCTTAATATAGGTCAATAAAAAGCAGAAATGTTTTCTTGAATAATGTCTGTGCTGAAAAGCTATAACACATTTTCTGAGACCAGAACACTAAAAATAGATTGCTTATTGGAACCAATAGATTATGCTGCTGATGGAACTGATATAAACTACAGTCTATCAATGTATAGATTTTTTTTCCCCTAAAGCCTAGAATGCTGCTTTTTATTAAAAAGAAAAAAAAAACCCAAAACCAAGAATAGAGGATACAATTTTATTTTAGATTGCTTGTAGTTTTTAGAAGTTTTTAAAAGTTTAAAAGATGACCACAAGGTACTGTGATCATCTGCTGTCAGACACTATGTAAAGGATTTTTCACATTTTCATAAAAATATTGAGTAGAATTATGATTTCTTAAATTTTAATATGTATTTTGAAATAGTTTAATACTTATATGCTTATTAATGTTAAAGTAGTATTTTTATTATTAAGTGTTTGCTTTTAGAAAAAACAGAAAATGCACATGAGCAAAAATGAGAAGAATGGAATCTCCTTATAATTCCACTTCTCAAAATAGTGACTGTTTTGATGATTTTGGCGTATTCTAGAATGGCTCTCTATATCCCACTCAGATATTTTTGCTTTTAAACAAAAGTAAGATGATAACGTAAATGCTGTCTGTAATTTTTAAAAATTTGTATTCTGTGCATATCTTGTGTCACTATGTTTACCTTGTTTTTGGTGACTTTTTTTTTACTAAATAGTATTTTTTTAAGATTAAAAAAACACATAATAATATACAAAAACTTCCCTCCAGGCCATGCAGTAACCAATCTTTTGCACATGGTTTTTGGCCTTTTTCTGTTCACAGTCTGCCTTGTAATGTTAATAGCACAATTTCCAAATCAGACTGTAAGGGTTGAAATCTCTGGTCTACCATGTATTGACTTTGTGATGATGGGCACAGTTTTTTCAAATCTCTAAGTCTCAGTTTCTTCATCTGTAAAACTGGGATAATCCTACCTCATACGGCTGTTACTAGGATTCTGTAAGATAACACAGGTAAATAATTTCGTACCAAACCTAGCATACTGTGCCAGTTCAAGAAAGGTCAATTATTATATTATATTATATTAATGCTTGTATAGGTTCTGTTTGCTTTCTTCCCTGAAGAGGAAATATTTTTTCCTAAATAACTCTATACCAATTGATGGGTGAGTTTTAAAATATGTATTTAAAACTGCTGATGAAGCTTTTTATTTTCCATATGTAGATTGGTTTGTGTTTCTTTTCTGAGTGGCCTGTTTGCTTTCTGTTCTTTCTTCAGTGTTTGCCTTCATTTATTGTTTGTAAGGGTAAGATATGAACCCATTACATGTGCCTGTTGTAAGTCTTATACCTTATGTGGTATCAGCTTCTTCTGTTCATTTATTGTTCTTTTGATGTGCTAATGTTAACTTTATGTACTCAGATCTGTCAGCATTTTTCCTTGTGGCCCCTGGTTTTTGTGTCATGCTTGAGCTCTCCCACACAAAAGGTTTTATGCGCATTTATTTGTACTTTTAATCTTATGTTCTTAGGAGCTTATATTTTACATTAGAATTTTTCATTTCGGAAGGTGTATTTCTGTCAGTGGTATAAGGTAGAGATATACCCAGCTTTTAATAAGTCATTAACCAGTGTTGAATGTCCTACTAACAAATAGAAGACTTTGGGAGGCTCCATCCCTAGACACACCCCAGTCCCCCTAACCCCCCAGATTCCACGAGGACTTTAATTGAAATTTCAGCATGTTCACAGGTTAATTTGGAGATGAACTGAGATCTTTATCATATTACATCATCTTCATTTGTCCGAGTTTTCTGCCTCTCAAATTCTATAGATTCCTTTAGATAAATTATATACATTTACTGTTAAATCAACTTGGGGATATTGAAAATTTTTTTTCAGTTGGTTCTTGAGTTTTTCATAGCCAATCAAAAATGATTAGGTCATCTCCTTTTTTCATATTTACACCAATTATTTCATTTTCTGGTGTGATTGCCTGTGTTACACTCTCTCCACCTGCCTTCCTCACTGTAATTTTCTGCTTCATTCTGTAGGATCCCCCGAGACGTGTTATGTGCAGCACTGATTTGATTTTATGCTGTATACTTTTTATTATTTCTCATGACTCTTAACATTCTGCTGTGACGGTTTTTGTACACTTTGCTTAATCACTTGTCTGTTTCGTGAGGTTTGTTTTCCTACTTTTTCTAACTCATTCACCTGCTCTTCATTGAGTCCCCGTTATGTCCCAGGTGTCCCCGTCCATGTGCCATGGGTAGGAGGGAGTGCGTGAGGCTGACAGGCCCCTGCCTCATGGGTTTTACTCTTGATGGGGGGCTTATTATGGCCCACAGGCTCTGGTCCATCATTCTCAGGACATTCAGCCTCTTTATCTTCTGTGTTCCCTTTTTTTATTTTATGTTGTCTACCCTTTGTTATAAGTCCTTCACTGGCCTCCTTTACCTCTCCTCGTCTCTGTCCATTCCTGACCGTTCCAGCCGGGAGTCAGACCCCAACGAGGGTGGGCTCCGGAAAGACAGGGTGTTTTGTCTGAGTACAGCATTGTGTCCCCAGCGCCCAGAGCGGTACTGAACGTGCCACCAGAATGCAGGCATGGCTGAAGTCTTCTCCGTCACCTGACAGTCTGACGTGGCATTGTGGGACATCTGTTACATTTTAAGCCAGAGGATGGAGTCTCTCAGTCTGCGTTACTGGTAGAACATTCCGGTGGCCTGAAGGAGATGCAGAGGGAGCTACCAGCCAGGGAACTTTTTCTCTAAAAACTTTTTTTCAGTGTGTGCTTGAAACCACAGTGCCAGCGTCGTGCTCCCCAAGGCTGGCGGTTAGTGCCGGCTGCCTCCACTCCAGGCGGGTC